CGGGCCTTGGCACCAATTCCCAAACGTCATTCCGTTTGAATTGGTTTAGCTCCTCTTGCATAGCCAAGGTCCAATGTTCATCGTTTATTGCTTCGGAAATGGTTGTAGGTTCAATTTGAGAAACAAAAGCCATGTGACCTACGGTGTCCCTAAGAGAATTACGAGTACTTACCCCGCGGTTGATGCTGCCGATTACCTGATCAAGTGGATGGTTCTTGTGCGTTCTCCAAGCAATGGGAAGCTCGGTTTCCTCTTGTTCCTCGGCTTCCTCGTGTTCTTCTTCGTCCGCGTGATCCTCATTTTCGACCATCACTTGAGGTGTTTCCTCAGGTTGTGGTTGCGGGTTGGTGTATAATAGCGTGTCTTCCTCATCGTCTTCAATGTGCATTCTTTCAAGTGAGTCTACAAGATCATCACAAATAGCCTTTCTCGCCAAGCGAGTATTATCTTCTTAAAACACAACATGAGGGGACTCCTCAATAGTCAAAGTACGTTTATTAAACACTCTATAGGCCTTGCTACGAAGTGAGTAACCGAGAAAAATCCCTTTGTCCGACTTGGCATCAAATTTTCTCAAGTTATCTTTGCCGTTATTATGAATAAAACATTTTCAACCAAAGACTCAAAGATGGGAAAGGTTTGGCTTTCTCCCTTTGTATAATTCATAGGGCGTTTTTATGAGTATCGGTCGAATGACGGCTCGGTTTAACACGTATCTCACGGTACTGACGGCATCCGCCCAAAAATACTTAGGGATTTTTGCCTCATTGATCATAGTTCTAGCCATCTCTTCGAGACATCTATTTTTACGTTCCACCACTCCATTTTGTTGTGGTGTACGTGGGGCTGAGAAGTTATGATCAATGCCAAGTTCGTCACACAAATCTGAAAACAGATTTCGTTCGAACTCTCCCCCATGGTTGCTTCTTATGGCTACTATGGTTGTGTCTTTTTCATTTTGAACTTTCTTTAGAAAATTTTTGAAGACATGAAATGCTTCACTTTTATGAGTAAGAAACAAGGTCCATGTAAACCTAGAGTAGTCATCGACAATCACAAACGCAAAGTAGTTGCCACCAAAACTTTTCGTTCTAGAAGGACCAAAGAGATCCATGTGCAAAAGTTGAAGCGGTCTAGACGTTGAAACAACGTTTTTAGACTTAAACGAAGCCCGAACTTGCTTCCCCTTTTGACA